CTGCAGATCTCCTCTGAACCTGACAGTGCCTGCCTCCTGACACCTGACTCTAGGTTTGCCCTCTTGCCTGTCTCAGACTCTAACCTCCTGGTATTGGACCCAGGCTTACTCCCAACTCCTGCTCTGACCACTACTTCAGACTGCCCATACCCCGGTCATGACCCTATCCCTTGAAGGCTGCAACCTCTTCAATAAGCACAAGAATGAAGCCTTGGATGCTTTAAAGGACTCAAGGGCCATGTTAAGTTACTTTGAGATACATACCCCAGCCACATGGAAAAAGTAATATGTAGGCCTCAGAATTATTCTAGACAGAGACAACCTTCCTCTTATTATTACAGCTAACAAAGGTCATCAGAGCCTCTGAGGCAGAGGGACACCACCTTCCCCTTCCTCCTCCACCACAACCTTGCTTCAACCTCACATCAGCAGCTTTGATGCTGCGGTAAAGAGCCCCTTGGAACTCTAGGATCTACCTTCTTCTTCTCCCCTCTTTGGGAACCATCCATTTTGCTTTTAGGAGGCCTGAAACTGGCTAACTCTAGACCATTGGATTCTGGAAATAATGGACAATGGTCACTATTCCTTCGTATTAACTGTGTTTAGATTTAGTTTATTTTCCCACAGAATTGCATTTTTCCCACCTGTTATATTGCACCAACATACATGAAGCCAACTGCATTGGCCCAGTCTTGCCCACTTCTAGCAGTCTAATGTTTTATGTAACACCTAGACTTGCAGAGCCCTAACACTCAGGGGAACACAAAGAATGTGCTTGGCCCCTGATTAAAGGAGTAGAGTAGTTTAAGAGGCAGGATGTTGTGAGGAAGGCATGCTCCCCTTCCACACCCCCTCACAGAGGTGGAGGGGAGCAGGGGCATGATTTCAACAAAGTAAATGTTGAGGAATTAAGAAATTGAATACCCTTGTCCAGGTGATTTTTAGGATCCCACTCTTTACTGTGCCCACTGTAGCAACTCACGGTCACTGGTTCCAAGTTCCCCTAGTGTTCTCCCATTGTTCAATATCTTCATTAATGATCTGGAGTATAGCGTGGATTGCACTCACAGCAAGTTTACAGATGACACTAAACTGGGAGGAGTGGTAGATATGCTGGAGGGTAGGGATAGGATACAGAGGGACCTAGACAAATTAGAAGATTGGGCCAAAATAAATCTGATGAGGTTCAACAAGGACAAGTGCAGAGTCCTGCATTTAGGATGGAAGAATCCCATGCACTGCTACAGACTAGGAACCAAGTGGCTAGGCAGCAGTTCTGCAGAAAAGGATCTAGGGGTTACAGTGGACGAGAAGCTGGATATGAATCATCAGTGTGCCCTTGTTGCCAAGAAGGCTAATGGCATTTTGGGCTGTATAATTAGGAGCACTGCCAGCAGATCGAGGGATGTGATCATTCGGAATTGGTGAAGCCTCATCTGGAGTACTGTGTCCAATTTTGGGCCCCACACTACAAGAAGGATGTGGGAAAATTGGAAAGAGTCCAGCGGAGGGCAACAAAAATGATTAGGGGGCTGGAGCACATGACTTATAAGGAGAGGCTGAGGGAACTGGGATTATTTAGTCTGCAGAAGAGAAGAATGAGGGGGGATTTGATAGCTGCTTTCAACTACCTGAAAGGGGGTTCCAAAGAGGATGGAACTAGACTGTTCTCAGTGGTAGCAGATGACAGAACAAGGAGTAATAGTCTCAAGTTGTAGTGTTGGAGGTTTAGGTTGGATATTAAGAAAAACTTTTTCACTAGGAGGGTGCTGAAGCACTGGAATGGGTTACCTAGGGAGGTGGTGGAATCTCCTTCCTTAGAGGTTTTTAAGGTCAGGCTTGACAAAGCCCTGGCTAGGATGATTTAGTTGGGAATTGGTCCTGCTTTGAGCAGGGGTTTGGACTAGATGACCGCCTGAGGTCCCTTCCAACTCTGATATTCTATGATTCTATGATTCTCAGTCAGCTCTCCCGCCAAAGACTGTAACATGACATGCTTCCACACACCACAAGAGTTGGTCCAGGAACTTACTTATTCTCACATTCTGCCAATCCTGGTGGTTTGTAGCAGATATTTTTTGCCTTTTATTTTTCATTCCTATCATCCGACCCTAATGGGTTATTGATATGGATATGGGTTTTAATAGTTTGGTTCCAGCTCTAATATTAATATATGTATTTTTCACTTTTTAGTTTGATTTCTTGTTTTGATTTTAGTTTGTTCATATAAAATTTACTGTAATGAAATGCTGCCTAATAGTTTTATTCTTTATTTCTATATTGTTGGAAAGTGTTAGCACTCACTTACTATTGGTAATGGTGCAATAACTTCCTTCCCACTGCCAGAATATGTAACAGGTTCAACAATAGAATACAAATCCAAACGTTTACATGCGGTAAAGGGTTCTCACATTGGCCAGTGGACAGAACCACCAGTTTTCTTAGTATGTAAAAACATTTATTACATGATACTAGATTTCTCTATGGTGCTCAGCACTGATTGGGGCAGATCCTGGGCCCTGCTAAGGTCATCTGGTGTCTACATAAAGTACCTCTCTATTGTGTCTTTGGGAATTTAGCCCAATAACTGTCTTTCTGTGCCAGGTTCAAAGCCCTTTAAAGTAGGTGGGAGTGTGTACAAAAAATTAGTCACAGAAAGCATGATCTAAAGGCGGGTGGAGAAATTTTAATTACAGGGAAAAGTTTCAGTATCTTGGTATGCCTCCCTTCCCCCCCCCAAAAATGTAAATGACACATTAAGCTTTTAATTGCACGACACTTAAGAAATGTAGAGCCACTGCTATGGCACAGCATCTCCCACCTTTAGCACTGGAGGTCCCCATTTCACTCCCTGGTTAAGGCTGCTGTCACAACTTCATTTCCCTTAGTTTTTAACTTTGCCCTTGTCCACATAGGCACTCATAGGGCAAAGTTAGCAGCAGCACAACTGCAGGAGGGACACATGAACCAAAAAGACTGTCAGCACCATTCCACTAGACTTCCAGTTTCTTTAAATCCTGCTTTGGGGTGGGAAACTGACTCTTTTGAAGAATATTTCTGACCAATGAACACATTTGTATGATCGCTAGCAATCCTGGGAGCTGTGTTTTATGATTCTAAGGGCAGGGAGAGGGTGTTCCAATTATTAAGAAACTTGAATTTGCAAAAATCAAGCACTCAAAAATTAGGAAATGACAGAATTAAGGTTGCTGTGCATCTTGAATTAATCTTCCCTGTGTGTATGAATTATGATACATTCTTTTAGTTACAGTCCATTAATTCCTATGTTACCACTCACAATGCCTTAGCTCCTGCCTCATCTGACTTTGTGCCTATAAGCCCCTTAGACTCACTCCACCAACTCTGCTCCCCCCATTCTCTGGCTCCCATAACCTCCTTCCCTCCTTGCTGCTATTCTGTCCCCGCTCTCTCCCACTAAACATCATTCCTCATCCCTCTTTATTCAAATCAGGCTGATTCCTAATTCTCCTTCAGGCTACCTAGATGCCAGCCAGGGGGGCACTGATAGTACATGAGACATAGTCTCCCTCCTCTCAGTTTCTGTACCCAATGCCACAGTGATCTCTGACATTAGGGCAGAGCAATTGTTGGAAAACTCCTGCAGCCCCAGAATGGTGATTGCCCAGTGCAGACAGAATCTTTGATGAATTTAGTTGTCAAATTCGAGGAAGTCTCTACTGAGCATGTAGGCACTGTGATTTTTTAAAGTATTATAAGGAGTGTCATGGAGTCCCACTCATAGATGAATATTGCTTTCTTTGTTTCTTGTTGTTGTTGTTAAGCAACTAGACTGGAGAGAATACTAGAACATGTACTATAGTGAATAACTTTACATTAGTTTGGACGGATCCTAGGGGACCACATAGCCTATGAAAAAGAAATTTCATTCTAGCCTATGAAAAAGAAATTAAAATGTTTGCAAATATGCTGTCTTCCTACCCTATGTTTAAAGCATCATAAGAAAAATATTCATGCAATGGATATTTGTGTGGGTTGTTTATCCCTAAATAAAAAAGATAATATGTAGGTGTTTTAGGATAATTGCATTTATTTTTCACCAACAGCCCACAGATAAAATACTTGTAAATGTTTTCCTATAACATAGCTTGGGAACTTATTCTCCACAGTCTGGTGTTTCCTTAACAGTGAGTGTAGAACTGTGAGATTGGAACCACAGTTGCAAAATAAGAGAACATAACTTTACGGTTATTTGGTAGCAATGTACAGAGTTTTCTGCTCCCAAAACTTTTTCAGTTTCTTTCAGTGAATGTTGATGCCTATCCCGTACAATGTAGTGTGATGCACTAAAGATAATCCTGTATTTGTAAGTGTCCCTGCCTCATGGTGTTTTGGATGTCTCCACAAAAGCAATTATCCACATCTACTATACTCCCCAGAGGGACAAAAGGACTTGGAGGATGAGCTACAGTCTGATAACGTAAAGTAAGTAAATGTGAATAGCACTAATAGTCTTTAACCTTTGCTGGGAAGTTCCCCCAAAACATGATTTACCAGAATAAGCTCTACCTCACTCCAAAATTCAAAGTGTCTGTATGTCCTGACCAATGACTGATAAACAGTCAGGCTTGCACAATACCAGCTTCCACTGGCAAATGCTATCTCTCAGGCCTGGGCTTCACTCAAGTTTTTCGCCACAACCTAATTGGCTGCCAGTTAATATGAGGTAGTTGACACAGACATAAAGGGTAATGTAAACACTGCCCAAATGTTTGTTCCAGGCTCCTGGTTTACTGAATCGATCAACCTGGAGTAAACCTCTAGCATAGATATAACCTGTCTACTGCACCTGCCAGCCCAGCTGCCTCCTCCTGGTGCTGCTTTTGTGTTCCTGGTGGAGTTTATATCTGTTATTTCTGGAATTAGATGTTGCAAGAGAAGAGGTCGGGGTGCAACAGAGAGGGGTTATAAAGGAAGGTCAGTCTTCATTTGCTGAGGACAGGATCCAGAGAAGAGCAGAACTCCATGTCAGCTATTACAAGTGCTGGGTGTACTTTATCAATCACCAGCATGACTTTGCTGAGAGGTATCATCATTCAGATACTCTGGGCTTTCTATGCTAAGGGACAAGGTAAGATGCAAAATGAATTAAAAGATCCTCAGCCCCATTTTGCAAGGGTAAAACAATGACTCATGGAACATAGTAAATAGGGGGTTTAGTGACAAATGGAGGAGAGTGCGTGAGAACCTTTGCAGATGGAGGGTTAGTTATGGAGCCTTACTTTCGTGTTGTTCTAGAGACTATTTCCATGTGTCTACTGCCTAATGAAACAAGGCTAATGAAACAAAATACTTCAGAGGGATTCAGAGTGCAAAAGTAATGTTAATGAAGTAACTTCTTTTTTCTTGAGTAATGAAAAATGGTTGATCAGACGTTGGTCAAAGTTCCCCCCAAACATTTACTTTTGGACTGACAAAGAACATGACAAACTTCAGCCCCAGTAAATGCTTCGAATGAAAGAATTGTCTCAGCCATAACCCTGGCATTGGTAAGGAGGTGCTACACTAAATTAATATTGAGTTTTCTTTACATGAACATTAAAATGTTTGTGTTCAAAGAGAAATATTAGCATTGACAAACAATAAATCCTGATATGATTTGATATGTTAATTCAGGAAAAAGCATAAGCTGTTCCAAGAATTCTGAATACTTGAATCAATATATGGCAATCTCTGCTTTATGGTCATTGATTTCTTATTTGTAACAGTTTTCTTTACATTCAAAGGGTCAAAGCAGAAGGCTAAAGGTGCAGGCCTTGCTCCTGTGAGCAGACCCACATAAAGGGATGACTTTTATGAGCAGAGATTACTCACATGAGTGAGGGTGCTAGACAGGCTTTTAATTAAGAGGAGTAACAGATGGGGTGACAAATACAAGTAGGGGAGGACAAAGGTGACAACAGCATCATCATTTAGTGGCTTAGGTGAGTGATTTTACATGATTTAAAAAAAAAAAACCTTTATATATATGAGAATTTAGATACACAATAGTTATTGAAAATAATAGTATTTCTCCTTCATCTTCTAGGCATCTTTGAACATCTCTGCCATAATCTGATTAGATAACATTTCTCCAGACCTCAGCATTTTTCATTCATTGGATCTAGATTTCCCAGAATTTGTGGGTGTTGGATCCAGTATAACTGAGGGATTTCTTTTTCTAAAAGACTAAACAAAATGGTAGTTGGGAACACTGGTGAACTGACCTCTAGACTCCAAGTACATGTGCAGGTTTTATGGACCTAATGTAGCTAAAATAAAATATAGAAATCTTTAAAAATAAGCCAGATTATGTAGCTATTAGTAGCATTATATATATATAATAATTGAGAGGGCATGTTCAATCTTAATTGACAACACTGAAGTAGATTCTGCCATGATGGGCTCATTATAAATGCTTAGGTAGACTAGTTTAGATTAGACAGAATTGTTTTCCATTCAGACTCAGAAGTTTTATTCAGATTTGGGCAGGGAGGGTTCTGATATTTGGACAATATTCAGAGCCTCCAAATCTAAATGATATCTGATTTGAACACTAGCCTTTGCCCACTTCTCTCTGTAGGACTCCCTCCCCCTCTCCCAGAGCCCCATGCCATATTTTAGACTTGAATGCGTTGACCAGTGTGGATGTGATAAGATTACACAGTTCTTCACTGTTTATCATTTCAGTGATAATGTCACCAACATGGAATAGGTTTCTAAGTAACAAAACATGAAAGTCCAACCTGCCTGCAAAATGATTTTTTTTCTTTCAATGATGGTTTGTTTATATAAAGTAGAGAAAAAGGGAGAGATAAAAGTGTTATATTTTAGCTCAAGTCAGTCTTTTGGAAATATTTATACAATCTAAAATATATCAGAGCTCTGCACTGCAAGCTGACAAAATAGTCTGAAATGCTTTTTCAGATGCTCAGTTACCCAATCTGCACCTATAATGAATAACACTGTGTGTTTGGTTTGTGTAGTGCCAGTATGTGAACAGCCGCCTGATGTTGATTTTGGCAAAATTATTAGTGGTGAGAAATCGCAATATGTGGAGAGTGACTCTGTGCAGTACAGCTGCTATCCTGGATACACACTGGCAGGATCTGAACGGATAACGTGTGATGGGAGAAACTGGATGCCAGCGCCAAAATGTTTGGGTAAAGGGAAATTTGAATCTATTTTATTCCCCACAGTTTAAGTCTTGGTGAATTTTTGTTAATGAATGCAGATGTATGTAGAACTCGGTAGTTGATCAGAGACCATAGGTGAGAAGAATCCTTCATTATTCCACTATTGCAGGAAAGCAGTTGGTTGCCGTCACCGTGTCTCCATGTTGTGGAGTTAGGGTGCATTCTGACGCAGGTATTTGACCAGGGAGAAAACAAGTAATATATTAAATTTCCATCACTGGATTTTATAGCATTGTTTTTCTAGTGGGTTCAATGCGTTCTCCTTCAATGTAGATGTTGACATTATAATGACTGTGGAGTCACCTTCTTTCCTTATTCCTGGAACAGCTTTCCTCCTTCAAATCCCTCCACAAAACCCACCTCTTGTGGCTTGACTTCCCTCGCTCCCTGCAATCTATGCTCAGGCATTCCTTATTCCAGCTCCCAAGAGGACAATTTATAAATAGTAATTTTAAACATTTGGCAATTTAAGAAATATTAGAAAGCCTAAGAGGTTAATGTAAAATGGCTAACTTTAAACCCCTGCTTGCCTCGCCCCATACATCTCCCAAGAAATTTAACCCTTTCCCCCTGTATTGTGAATACCACACCGAGCCCCTAAAAGTAATATTCTTAGTCACAACTTTAACTCGTGTGCCACATTTTCACTAGTACAATGAAACCTATCAAAAGTGATCCATTTAGGGACTGATAAAAATCAGTCAACAGAAATGATCTTCTGATAAAAATGAAACAGAATTGTACTCAATATACTTTGGGGTTCTTAGGGATGGTCTCCTAATGAAAGTAATTGCTTAATAAAGGTGGTCGCTTTGGAGAGGTAATTTGAATTTAGTTTTCTATTCTCTTCAGTGACTTCTCTGGTGACTCCAATTCCAACTATCCAATCAGCAACCATCTCCCTTTCACCATTCCTTGACAAGTTTAATTTGCAATCAAAATGCAATTAGACTCTGAGCCCAATCACCCAATGGAAACAGTTTTAGGCCCCATATCTAATGCAGACTCATGAAATTTATTATGAGATTTAGCTAATAAATTATTTTTGATATTTGCCATAATCACTTTCTGCGGCCAGATCATAGAAGAGATTCTTATTATGGTGAAAGATTAAAATAAAGCAATAGCTTTAATTGTGTGTAATCTGATTTAGAGTTTTGGAACTGATTAACTTAAAGCTTTGTGGTGAATAATATGTCGTTCTAATTTTTTCCTGTTTTCATTTAGCACCATGTACCATCACAAAACAGCAACTGGAGGACAAAAAACTGCTTCTGTCCAGTGGCCGTAGACGTACAATAATGGTTGTAAATGATCAAATAGTGGAATTTTCCTGCAGTGAAGGATATAACCCTACAGATCCTTCAGCCAGGAAGTGTGTTGATGGACACATAGATTTTCCACTGTGTATCTCTGGTAAGTTTGATAATTTGCAGACACTGTCTATAACTCACATGAAATGAGGGGAAGATAACGAAGAAAATCTCATCCTAAGTAGCCTTAAGGGTGAACAAGCAATGATTGGGCATGCAGTATCATTTTGTTTTGTTTGTTTTTGCTTAGCCACAGGAAAGAAATGTGGACGTCCACCTGTTGTTGTTAATGGAGATATAACTACTTTTTTGCAAAAAGAGTATGCCTCAAGTTCTTCTGTGGAATACAAATGCCAAAAGTTTTATTCAGTGAAAGGGCAAAATAAATCTTTCTGTAACAATGGAAACTGGACAGAAACACCAATTTGTGAGGGTAAGATGATGTTTATATATCTGGTAGTAGGTAAAAGTGCTTCACAGTTCAAATATCATTTTTGTTACATTATTTTGTACCAATATTTTGAACTTTGTAATATAGAGATTTTACTGTTAGAAATCTAAATATTTCTGATGAAAGTTCAAAATCTCCTGAGCTTCTTTTAGAAGTTATTGGAAAATGTATTTTCTTTACAATTTCAATGAAGTCCTTTTAAAGGAACATTCAATGAAATTTCAGGGTGGAAAATTCAAAATTGACAAAAGTAAATACTTTTTCACAGAACACGTAATTAGATGGTGGAACTCATTGCCATAGGAAGTGATTGAGGCCAAGAAGTTAGCAAGACTCAAAAAGGAATTCAGTGTTTATATGGCCTACAAGAATATCCAGAATTATCATGATTAATAATGATAAAAAATGTGGAAACAATATTCACACTCCTGTTTCAGGGTTAAATCAGTCTGTAATTATCAGAGATCAAGCTGAGATCTAATATTAGGGGGTGGGGAGCAAATTATCCCATCTCTGCCTGCCTCAGGGTTCTTACACCTTCCTCTGATGCATCTGGTACAGGCCACTGGCTGAGATCTAATCTGGGAATCCCAGGTTCTTGACCAGACCATTTTTCTATTACTAACATCAAAACAAATTTGTGATTATTGGAAAAGCCAGGTAATATCTTGTTCAGTGTTTGTTCCTGACAATCCAGACACTTTTCTTCTATCTCTGCCCCCGAATCACTCCACCTAGACCTCAACCACGATAACTATATGTACATCATTAGATTTCTGCTTTTCTCACTCTAGAGCCATGTGTTATCTCTCAGGAAGAAATGCAAAACCGTGGCATAGAGCTGACTGAGACATACAATGGAAAACAATACATACAACATGATGATTTTGTTGTGTTTAAGTGCAAATCAGGACATGTACCCCAGGCATTTTTATCTCCTGATTTCACTGTGTGGTGTCATTCAGGCAATATTGTGTATCCCCAGTGCAATAAAGGTATGTGTTCCTTAATTAAATTACTATTCCTTGGGATATTCTGAGCTGGGAGGAAAATGAGCAAACTTGAAACAAAAGACCAGTGCTTCATAGGCTTATATTTGATAAATACAGAAAAAATGACACCACTATCAAAAGTGTGGAATGTACAGATGACACTTATGGACTGAATTAACTTGTTTTTATTTAGGAGGGCTTCATTGATTTAGTTGTTAGAAAACAAAGATTTAATAGATCAGGGTAGATAGCAGCATTAAGTGCCCTGTTGCCTTATTTGTCATACTGGAAATAGAGCAGCACACACTGGAAAATAATTAGCCTTTAAAGGAGAAATCAAATTAGATGCATTTATGGTTAAATTAGCTCCCTTGCAAATACAGGTGTGGGTTTATGAACCTAGCAGAGGTGCTTCTCTATTCATTTATCATTATTGGAAAGAGTTGGTAAGACAGTGGATACATGGGACCAGAAGGCAGAATTTCCTTGGGTGTTTTTTTTTCGTGTTCTCAACAGGGTTCTTCACGACAATCTATTAAGGGAAACAAATACTCAGAGTAAAGAATACAATTCTATATAAGTTAGAAACTTGCCAGGCAATGGGAAACTTGGGGTAATGCTTAGTGGGTTTGAGAGAATAGAACGGCATTCAGGCACCTTTCGCTCTCTCCACATTTGGGGCCATAAGTGGATAGTGGGGGAGAAACAGCTCCTGCCATAACTGTAAGCAGCACAAGGACTGTTCTAAGTTGTGCTGACAAGAGAAGTCCCATAGGAAACCTTCTACCAGCTGAGGACGGGGTGGGGCTGCCCATGACAAACCATTCCATCATACAGGGGGAATCTTCACCATTCCCAGTTAGAGATAGTTTAAAAGTTTTTTCATGTCACTTCAACGGTGCAAAAAGACCTTAACCGGGTTCAAGGATGTGGCCTCTAGAGTTTAACTAATGACAACTTAGAGTGGCAAGAACTTAAGTCAACTCAGGGCAAGCTTCTCAACATGCCATGCCCAAATGCAGGGCACAATGTATAACAAGGACCCCAAATGAGGGACACAAATGTTTAATTATGCTGGAATTTCTCCTAGACTCGTCCAGACTATGATATTAAATTGCTCTTTAATGTATATTAAGTAGGTCAGTGGAGAAGTGCTTATATCACAATAACCACTATCACATCTCACACTGGAAACCTCACTAGACAGATGTAAGCACTTCTCCACCTTCTTAGTCAGTCCAATACAGAGCACATAGAAATAGTCTACCCAAGATGCATGAACATTACTGAGCCTTCATAGAGCATGGATCTCATGGTAGATTAAAACTTCTCAGGAAGAGTAATTCCAATATTCTAGCCTTACCACCCTTCCTTCCATGTTGTCTGTACAGTGAGAGAGGTAACTACTTGGAATCAGGAACTAAGAGAGACCTGGAAGAAAAGAAAATTATGAGGCAAGTTAAACATTAATTTAAAAAAATAGCAAGATTGATCTTTTACTTTATTGAAGGCTCAGATTTTACAGGTATAGTTAGGGCAGGGAATAGTGCTACTAGAACTTCCACTTTACGTAACTAGTACCCTAATATAGTGCAATTACTCTGTGTTTCAACGCTCTGTGTTTATTTTAGATGTGTTAGGAAGGTGTGGCCCCCCACCTTCTATTCAAAATGGAGACATCATTTCTGACCTATTGCCAGTATATGCAGCAGGCTCTTCAGTGGAATACAAATGTCGAAGTTTTCATGGAATGACGGGATCCAAAATAATCACATGTCGTTTAGGAAAATGGACAGCCCCACCAGTATGCTCAGGTACATATAAAATTATCCTTGTGACATGAAAAAGAAACATGACTTTGCTCTTGTTTTTTTGGGGGTCGGGTTAGACAATCTGGCAGAGACTAGTTGGCATATCCACCTCAGGCACAGAGCATAAACTCCAAGGGAGAACCCACAGAGGAGTTTCTGTGAGTTGGGGAGGAAGAGCACAGTATGATGTGGATAGAGCTCGTCAGAAATTTTCCTACCGATAAAACACTGATTCAAACTTTTTGCAGAAACATGATGATTTTGATAAATCTCCATAGTTGTTTGACTTTCATTCTATGCATCCTAACCCAAATGTTTTTACTAGTGCTGCTCTCAGTGGGATGCTACCCACCACATAAGGGGCAGAGGGAAGCAGGGCCTTGGCAGAAGAGCTAGCCAACCACAAAGGGGAGCATAAAACTCATCCCCCTCTAAACTGTAGTGGAGCATGCAACGCACCCTGATCACACCATAAAGCACCAAGCTAAACCATTGTGTTGAAGGGAGATGCAATGGTTTTGGAGCTATCCCTGAGGTGGAGAGCCTCCATGCTGCCCCAAACAGTTTCTTAAAGTTTAGCTATTAGATACAGAAGGCTAAGTGATATGTAGAAAGCCAATAGCTGTGTAGCTCTGTGAGAGTTTTTCTTCTCACTTTCTTGCTGCCTTTCATCCTCTATTTCCAGGGAAATTCAATATGTTAGTCATTAAAAAAAGCTATAGCTTCACTCATCATGTGATTTTTGGTATGTTCCCATGCCCCTCTTTTGCTTTATGACCCATCCCTTTTGCCTTATGTCCCTCCCCTAAGTCTCATTTTTGACATGTGCATTTTTGGTGCTGGCAGCTGTCTTGAAAAAAAATGGAAGTTTTAAAATTTCTGATTCCATTTCTCCTTTCTGGAAGTAGTAGAACTGAATGAAGCTTTGTGGCCCTTTCCTCATTAAGAAGAAAATATGTTTTTATGCATTTAGTGCAATTTTAAATAAAGTCTAGTAATCTGGTGTACAAAGTCTTAATGACAGAACAATACAAAAAAGTTAACATGCATGTTTTAGAAAAAAATAATTTTAAGACAGTTTTTTAATAATTATTTAGCAGTGTACTAATTTACAAAAAACTTAGCCATGGCAGAACAAAGTGTTAACACATATATATTAGCATCCCTTCTATCATTTAAGAAAAAAATTAAATGCAGATAGTTCACTTCTAAATAAAGCATTATGGTCAGAGGAATAAAGGAGAAGTCTTAATACATATACAGAATCATGCATTTTGAGAGACAAATATTTTTGTGCATTTAGAACAGTTCTAGTTCATTAAATAATTGTACAAAGTGAATGATAGAGAAATAAATGATAGAGAAATAAAGGAGTGTTACATAAAATCATACATTTGTAGAGAAAATTAAGTTAGTACATTTCTAAATAAAGTCATTGCATAATTAAAAACAGCTTAGTAACAGCAGACTAGAGAAATGTTATGACATGTTAATATGCATTTTCCTCATTTTTATAGGAAAATATTTTTAATTCAGTTAGCATATTTCTGAATAAAATCATTAAATAATTATAGAAAGTATTAATGACAAAGGAATAAAGGAGAAGTATTAATATATACATATAGAGAGAATTATGCACTTTTAGAAAAAAAATTATGCAGATATTACAATTCTAAACGAAGTTGATAAAACAGTTCCACAAAGGTCACAAAGTATTATTTAGTGACTATTTAGAAAGGCATTAACTTCATGAAATATATTTTTTCTTATAAAAATGCATAATTCTATATACAGTATGTATTAACTGTTCTCTTTTATGTCTCTACCTTAAGACTTTGTATAATTAATTACTATTTAAAAATGTACTAAATATATAAAAATATTTTCTCTAAAAATAAGAAAAATGCATGGTGAGCATATAGAAAATTTCTCCTTTAGTCCCTGTCATTTAGACGTGGTACAATTATTTAATTTCTTTATTTAAAAACACAGTAAATGCATAAAATAATATTTTTCTCTAAAAATATGTGATTTTATACGTGTGTGTGTGTGTCTGTGTGTGTGTGTCTGTGTGTGCGTATATATAAACTCTTCTCCTTTATTCCTCTGACTTTAAGGCTTTATTAAGAAATGTATTAACTACATATAAAAAGTATTATATATATAGGAACACTTGATTCTGTCATTACTAACATTTTTTGTCACAACTGTTTTTCCCTACAGAAAAGATGCACGTTAGCCTTTCTTTATTCTTCGGTTATTACAACATTGTACACCTGTTTACTAGACTTTATTTAGTATTGCATTAAAAATATAAAATGTGTTCTCTTGTTAAAATGAGGAAAGAGCAAGAAACATATATTTCTTTTCTATTTCTAATGCATTTAATAAGAATAAATTAAATAGAAAGGAAAAACTTTTTTTTTCAAAATGGCAACCAGTGCCAGAAATGCACATTTCAAAAGTGAGACCTAGGGATGGGACATAAGGCAAAAGGGGTGGGCCATAAAGCAGAAAGAGGGCAGAGACACATGTCAAGTTATGTTGAGTAAAGGTATAGTATTTTATTACTGATGTTAATTTTTAGCCTTACCATTTTCAAAACTTTATCTTGTTTATCCCAATCTCACTTCCCTTTCTGTGAGAAGAGGAGCAGAGAGAGCGGAAAAGGCAGTTTGTATTAGAGAGTAAATTTCAGATGATGACTTTGGCTTCTCTATGAATTATTTTTAAAATCCATCTGGTGAAGGGTTCTTTCTAAAGGGCACAGCTTAGCCACATCTATGATTTTATCAGTTATAGGGACATCAGGAGGTTTTTGTGTCCTGGGATTCTTTCTTTCCTTTTTCCCTCCATTTGTGTGGTACTTCTTTCTTGTATGACAGGGATCGGCAACCTTTGACATGCAGCTCACCAGGGTAAGCACCCTGGCAGGTCGGGCCGGTTTGTTTACCTGCCGCGTCCGCAGGTTTGGCCGATCGCAGCTCCCACTGGCCGCGGTTCGCCGCTCCTGGCCAATGAGGGCTGCGGGAAATGGCGCAGGCCGAGGGATGTGCTGGCCGCAGCTTCCTGCCGCCGCCATTGGCCTGGAGCGGCAAACTGTGGCCAGTGGGAGCTGCGATTGACCGAACCTGCGGACGCGGCAGGTAAACAAACCAGAGCGGCCCACCAGGATGCTTACCCTGGTGAGCCACATGCCAAAGGTTGCCGATCCCTGTTGTATGATTTACACTCATTTATCTCTCTAGCATTATTCTATGTTTCATATTCCACTCCTTTGGCCCGTATTGTCCCAACTTCTATTTAGCTTCTATCCTCTTACCATTATTTTACCCCCAGTCTTTCAATATGCAGATACCATGGTAACATCATAATTCATAATACTCTGAGACAAGTGCTGGATGCATCAAATACCCTACATGGTAATATGGTCCTGGAGAGAGTAGGTACTTCACATGGATGCACGTCTCAGTTGACTGATCCACATGAGCCTTGAGAGGGGAGAAGTTGGGCCAAAGCCTCTTACTTTCTGTTTCTGTGCTAGTCAGTGCTCAAGACAGAATGGTGAGATTAGTTGGGCAGAGATGATTGACCCAAAGGCTTTCAAATTAACTTGTTTGAAAAGCAACCCAGAATCAGATTTTGACAAAGCTAGAGTAGATAGTTACCTATTTTGCCATCAGTTCCATACTGCTAGTATGGAAGTATCATGCTGTGTCAACTTTAAAGATATATCTTGTAGTATTTTGTGTTCAGTTCCAATACCAAGAGGATTTTTTAAAATTTTCCTTTGGGATCTTTCCTGCTCTATCACAGTACATTTGATAGCAGTATTCTGTAATATTTGTGATCTTACAGCATTTATTGTAAATAATCTCTGATGTGCATGTTTTTTATTTCTACATTAATTTTAGAGGCTGCTAGAAAGTGTGGGCACCCACCTGCTATTGATAATGGAGACGTCATGGCCTTCCTACAGAAAGAATATGACTCAGGTTCAAGAGTGGAATACAAGTGCCAAAGTTTTCATAGAATGAAAGGATCTGCCTTTGTTAGCTGTGAGTCTGGCCAATGGACAGACCCACCAGTTTGCTTAGGTAGGTACAAATATCTACGATATGAAAAAGAATGTGATGAGTTATACAACTGTGGTATTTTTCATATTATGGGCCCAATCCTGAAGTCACCTGTTCTGGTGTAACACCAGATTAATTCCATAAATCTGAATGGAGTTACCCCTGATTTATACCAGAGCAAGTGTGGGGGAGACTCACATTCTTTATAGGGACATCAGTGCAGATTTTTCAAAAGGAAAAGATTGGCAAATGGCAAACACTCACACCATTATAAGTATTTAGAATGAACCCCCAAAATATATCTTAGTTAAAACCTGCAACAACCATTATAATGAAACTACCTGTACGTGAAAAGATATATTCAAATATCTATTTTAGTTGAAAAGATTTCAACTATAGCAGATGCTGTGAAATACAATTCAATAACTTATGGAAGACCAGGAGGAATATTGGTCACTGCTCTTCAGTACTTGGAGTGGACACGATGCTGGCATGAGCAGCAGGGGATTCCACTTTTGCCCAGGGGGAACTCTAACTGGCATAAAACCAATATAGTCTGCTCTCTCCAATCTCCATATGCTGAGAGTGAGAGGGGAGGGGGAGGCTGGAGTACACTGTGGTGCAGTGATCCCCAGCTGTGCAACTACCTCTGTGTGGTTCTTAAATTTATGATGAACTGATCATGTAGCCCACCACATCCCCTTCTCTTCTGCCATGTCACCTACACAAAGGTCGGGATGGGAGGCGGGGGGAAGAGGACAACGGGGAGCCCAATCTGCCAGCTTCATATCATCAAAAAGTAAGTATCCTTCCACATGGATGGTATTTTGTTGGCCTGATATAGCTAGATTCTGGCAAAGGGTGGCATACTTTCCCCCTGCCAAGAAAAGTGCGGGACCCACCATATCAACATCGGCCGTTTTGCCACACGTGGTGTCTGGAGTGGGATTTCTGTGCCATGAATGTAACCCAGGGTGGGTCATGACCGCCCCATCCCCAAGATGGAGGACGTGGTCAAAGCACTGGTGTAAGCCACCGCTGCCCAGCAGGAAGCTACCCGGGTCCAGGCAGCCACCCATCAGGAGGCCATGCGGCTGCAGCAGGAGACTAATCACCTGCTGATGAATCAGGCCACCCAAGATCGGGCCATGCTGCAGGAACTCGTGAACCAGGTGAAGGCCCTTACAGAGCTGAGCCGTGGGTATGGCGGGACGTGAACTACATGGGCCAGCTACTGTCTGCAGAAAATGACCCGGGAGGATGATGTGGAGGCATACCTCCTGGCCTTCGAGAGGAGAGCCCTACAGGAGGCCTGGCCCCAAGACCAGTGGTCGGGCATCCTTGCCCCATTTTTGTGTGGGGAGGCACAAAATGATATGACCACAGAGGAGGCGGCAGATTACCCCCTGCTGAAGGCAGAGATCCTGGCCAGGTCCAAGGTAATGATGGCCTTGCGAGCCCAGAAGTTCCATGAATGGCAGTATTGTGAAGACAAGACACTGCGGTCACAACTGTTTGACCTAATCCACCTAGCCCAGACGTGGTTACACCAAGAGGCCCTCCGCTCTGAGAAAATGATGGAGCTCCTGGTGCTGGACCGCTATATGAGGGGACTATCCTTGAGCCTGGGTAGGCCAGAATGACCCCTCCACCTATGATGAACTGGTCACTCTCGTGGAGAGACAACTGGTAGCCCGTGAACTGTTTGAAACCCAAGGAGGTGAAATACGGTGTTCCAGGAATCCAGTCCCGACCCAGAGGCCCTGGATTATTGAGAACTCTAAGAAAGCCATAGCTGAAAGAACAGGCACCAAGGAGCGGCCCACGGCCCTGAAGGGACCTAGGGGTCTGGGGCAGGAGGGCTGGACAAATGGGTCAGAGAGCCCAAGACAGAGGGCAACCTCCGGGATGAGATATCATTGTCACAAGTGTGGGGAGTTGGGGCATATAGCAGCCCAGTGCCCCAACAGAGAGGAGCCCATGCAAGGCAATCTGGGGGATCGCAGGGACCAATGTGGCCTAATCAGCCTGGTGGGGGTTGCAACGACCCCACATGAGTACACCAGGCCAGTAAAGATGAACAATATCCAGACCAGAGTGGACTCTGGGAGTGTTGTCACTCTGGTCTCAGGGAAGTTAGTGGGGCAAGACCAACTGAGCCGGGCCAAGAACATAAAAATGGCCATACTGGGTCAGACCAAAGGTCCATCTAGCCCAGTATCCTGTCTACCAAAAGTGGCCAATGCCAGGTGCCCCAGAGGGAGTGAACCTAACAGGTAATGATCAAGTGATCTCTCTCCTGCCATCCATCTCCACTCTCTGACAAACAGAGGCTAGGGACACCATTTCTTACCCATCCTGGCTAATAGCCATTAATGGACTTAACTTCCATGAATTTATCCAGTTCTCTTTTAAACGCTGTTATAGTCCTAGCTTTCACAACCTCCTCAGGCAAGGAGTTCCACAAGTTGACTGTGCGCTGTGTGAAGAACTTCCTTTTATTTGTGTTAAACCTGCTGTCCATTAATTTCATTTGGTGGCCCCTAGTTCTTGTATTATGGAAATAAGTAAATAACTTTTCCTTATCTACTTTCTCCACATCACTCATGATTTTATATACCTCTATCATATCCCCCCTTAGTCTCCTCTTTTCCAAGCTGAAAAGTCCTAGCATCTTTAATCTCTCCTCATATGGAGACTAGTTCCAAACCCCTAATCATTTTAGTTGCCCTTCTCTGAACCTTTTCTCGTGCCAGTATATCTTTTTTGAGATGAGGAGACCACATCTGTACGCAGTATTCAAGATGTGGGCATACCATCGATTTATATAAGGGCAATAATATATTCTCCGTCTTATTCTCTATCCCCTTTTTAATTATTCCTAACATCCTGTTTGCTTTTTTGACTGCCTCTGCACACTGTGTGGACGTCTTCAGAGAACTATCCACGATGACTCCAAGATCTTTTTCCTGATTTGTTGTAGCTAAATTAGCACCCATCATATTGTTTGTATAATTGGGGTTATTTTTTCCGATGTGCATTACTTTACATTTATCCACATTAAATTTCATTTGCCATTTTGTTGCCCAATCACTTAGTTTTGTGAGATCTTTTTGAAGTTCTTCACAGTCTGCTTTGGTCTTAACTATCTTGAGCAGTTTAGTAAAGTCTGCAAACGTTGCCACCTCACTTTTTACCCCTTTCTTCAGATCATTTATGAATAAGTTGAATAGGATTGGTCCTAGGACTGACACTTGGGGCAGCGGCGTATTATCACCTAGGCCAACAAGGCCTAGGCCTAGGGCGGCAAATTTGCCAGGACGGCAAATTTGCTCTTGCCCCCTCCCCAATTCCACCCCTTCCCCAAATCTCCAGCCTGCCTCCTCCCCCAGGCGCGCCGCACTTCCCTCCTTCCACCTCCCTCCCAGACTTGCCGCGCTGGGAGGGAGGGAGAAGCGAGTTGGTGCGCGCTTGGAGGAGGCGGAGCAGAGGTGAGCTAGGGCCCGCGGGCACGGGGAGTAACAGGGGGCCGGGAACCGCTCCCCGGCCCACCCCAGCTCACCTCTGCTCCACTGCCACCGCCATCCCCCGAGCGCGCCGCAACTCCCCTTCTCCCCCCTCCCTCCCAGGCTTGCCGCACGAAAGCACTGGGAGGGAGGGAGGAGAAGCGAGTAGCGGCGCGTTCGGGGGATAGCGGAGGTGAGCTGGGGCCGGCAGGCACGGGGAGTAACTCTTGGGGGGGGGCAGGAAACCACTCCCTGCCCCAGCTCACCCCTGCTGCACTGCCGCCATCCCCCGAGCGCGCCACAACTCCCCTTCTCCCCCCTCCCTCCCCGGCTTGCCGCGGGGGAGCGGAGGTGAGCTGGGGGGGGGGGCGGCAATTTTTTGACGGCCTAGGGGCGGCAAATTTGTTAATCCGCCCCTGCCTTGGGGAACACCACTAGTTACCCCTCTCCATTCCGAACATTTACCATTTATTCCTACCCTTTGTTCCCTGTCTTTTAAGCAGTTCTCAATCCATGAAAGGACCTTCCTTTTTATCCCATGACAACTTAATTTACGTAAGAGCCTTTGGTGAAGGACCTTGTCAAAGGCTTTCTGGAAATCTATACTATGTCCACTGGATCCCCCTTGTCCACATGTTTGTTGACCCCTTCAAAGAACTCTAATAGATTAGTAAGACACGATTTCCCTTTACAGAAACCATGTTGACTTTTGCCCAACAATTTATGTTCTATGTGTCTGACAATTTATTCTTTACTATTGTTTCAACTAATTTGCCCTGTACTGACGTTAGACTTACCGGTCTGTAATTGCCAGGATCACTTCTAGAGCCCTTTTTAAATATTGGTGTTACATTAGCAATCTTTCAGTCATTGGGTACAGAAGCTGATTTAAAGGACAGGTTACAAACCATAGTTAATAGTTCTGCAACTTCACATTTGAGTTCTTTCAGAACTCTTGGGTGAATGCCATCTGGTCCCGGTGACTTGTTAATGTTAAGTTTATCAATTAATTCCAAAACCTCCTCTAGTGACACTTTAATCTGTGACAGTTCCTCAGATTTGTCACCTACAAAAGCTGACTCAGGTTTGGGAATCTCCCTAACATCCTCAGCCGTGAAAACTGAAGCAAAGAATCCATTTAGTTTCTCCGCAATGACTTTATCGTCTTTAAGTGCTCCTTTTGTATCTTGATCATCCAGGGGCTCCACTGGTTGTTTAGCAGACTTCCTTCTTCTGATGTACCAAGAACACCGGAGTGACGTGTGTCCACGGCACAGTAAATTTCTACCCCACAATCCCAATACAGATTGAGATCCCGGGGAACACTACCAAGGTGACTGCAGGGGTGATCCCCAAGCTCCCCTACCTGACTTTCCCTGTTTCGAGAGCCTACTGCCCCCCCCATCAAGTTAGGGGAGGGCAGTAAACCCTGGGCAGAGAGCGAGGCGCCCCTGGATGGCCCTGCCCCAATTTTTGCTGGGTTTTCCCCAGAGTTATTTTCACACCCCTCTCCCCCCCCCCAGGAAGTCCCAGAAATCTAGATGGGAAAGGAGGGCAGATAAAATATTAGGAACCAGGATTTTGGCAGCAAACCAGAGAGCTGCCCTGGTTGGGAGGCAGCCCCATCAGGGAAACCGCAAGGTAGCAGAGACCAGTGAAGACCCAGAGATGGCTCCCAGCACGAGCGAAAGCACTCCAAGAGGAGGAGCGGAGATCGATCCAATAGAATCAGGCCAGAACGGTCCCGCCTGTGAGTGTTTTGGGTGGGTCCAAGCCTATGACCCACTGTATGTGAATGTGAGGGAGGAGATAGTAGAGGTAAATGGCATGCCTGTAGAAGTGAAAACTAAAGGCCCAAGGCCATACTATATAATCAAGCATGATCTGTTGTACTGGGTAGTGCCAATATGGGGAAGTAGTGGAACAGCTCTTGGTGCCACGGAAGCACACAAGGGTGTGCTTTAGAGTCATCTGTTTGGGGGACATTTAGGAGCAGATAAGACCCTGGATAGAGATCTAAGGAGGTTTTACTGGTCGGGGGTACGGGCAGAAGTCCAGCGCTATTGCACCTCCTGCCCACAGTGCGAGCTTCATAGCCCCCGACCTCAGTTAAGGGCCCCGTTGATACCCTTGCCTGTAATTGAAGTCCCTTTTGAAAGGATAGCCATGGATCTAGTGGGCCCACGAGAAAGATCAGCCCAGGGCCACCGAAGCATACTCATCATCTTGGACTACACTACGCAGTACCCCAAAGCCATTCCTGTAAGAAACCCCGCATCCAAGGAGCAACGGTATGCCGTAGTAGAAAAGGAATGCCTAGCAGTTAAATGGGCCATGGAAATTCTATGGTACTACCTACTTGGGCGGCGGTTCACCCTTGTGATGGAGAATCCAGTAGATGCCTGGGGAACTTCTCGTATCGCAAACATCCGGTATGGAAGGAGGGTAATCCCAGTCTTTTCTGTCTTGTGCCACCACCTTTCGGATCATGCTCTTGAGTAAATCGCTCGACCAGACCATCTGTTTGGGGATGATAGACCGAGGTCCTCAAGGCTTGGATGCAGAGCAGGGTACAAAAGTCTTTTATTACTCTCGACATGAAGGGAGTCCTTTGTTCTGTCAGGATCTCCTTAGGGATGCCTACTCTAGCAAAAGCCTGGACCAGTTTGTGTGAAAGTCTCCTTCTCTAGAGCTCCTTGTTCTCTCAACCGTACCAACTCTCCTTTTCTGTTCAAATCTTATCTGAAAATATTTCCCTGCTTTATTTAGCTATGTAAAGCATTTTGGGACAGGGTCAGTCTTAATACAGCTAGTGAATCAAATGTCCAATGATACATCCACATGTACATACTGAAATTATATTTTTCTATTTCCAGAGCCATGTACAACATCCCCAGAAGATATGGAGAAAAACAATATTGGGCTGAAATGGAGCTCGGAAACAAGATTGTATTTAGAAAGTGGAAACTTTGTTGAATTTGACTGCAAAAATGGATATGTGAAGGATCCAACATCTTCTGCATTTAGAGTACAGTGTGTGAAGGGGAAATTGGCATATCCTAAATGTAAGAGAAAAGGTAAATCTCCAGTGAAACTACAATATTGGTGAATTACCTGTCTTAATTTTTACTAGGGAATTCTCAGGTTTAAAAAATATTATGGCACCATTGTGATGGGTACCGTAGAAACATGTGGGAAATCATGCTTCCTGACCCAGACAGCTTACAATCTAAATAGAGAACACAAATGGTGGATTAAAGAGATTCATGGGTTACTTTGCTTGTGAGCTCTATTACTTGAGCTGGGACAATCTTCCTCTGACATCTGGGCGTCATTAAGTTACCAACAGAGCAGAAAAGTTTTGTAAGTGTTCTTGTCTTACCCCAAGTTCTCTAGCTGGCCAAATTCCTCATTCAGATAGCTGACTTCTATTGTGGTCTGCACTCATTTGCTTTCCCTCTGAAGCTGATTTTTTTAGCCCCTTAAGTCAAGTCCTTGCTGGACCTCATCACTGTTAGGAAGCTCCATGTTGGGGAAAGATTTCATGATTGCCTTGAGTTACTAGTATCAGAGGGGTAGCCGTGTTAGTCTGAATCTGTAAAAAGCAACAGAGGGTCCTGTGGCACCTTTAAGACTAACAGAAGTATTGGGAGCATAAGCTTTCGTGGGTAAGAACCTCACTTCTTCAGATGCAAGAATTACTAGGAAACCTTCTATCCATGAGGGTCAGTTTGCTGGTCCCCTCAATTATCTGTCTTGCCATTTTACACTGGGAATTTTGCAGCTGGGCTTCTCAATCTGCCTAGAGACTTTGTAGTTGCTGACCCAACAAATATTTTCTCTCAGACTGCAAGTCGTCTCTTCACATTCAGCACTCTGTCCAAAAAATGCTTTCGCAGCTTTTCTGTGGGGCTACTTTTCCAGGGCTTCTCTTGCTGTCCACTGGCTTTCCCACAGCTTTCTGGCAACTTCTACTTCAGACATAAACAGCTTCATCAATTAATCCTCAGCTCCTGTGTTTATTCATCACTACAGACATGGGCAACGCAGCAAAAATTAAGGAGTGTGTGAGTGGAACACAGATTTGCCTTCTTCCTGACTGTCCTCTTCCTTTCTCAGGCAGGCACCAACACCACCACAACCAGCAGTTTAAGTGCGCTGGCCCATAAACTCCTAATCCCATCCTCTCCAAATCAGTGCCTGGTGTTGTGACCTGGAACACAGGATCACAGTGCAGATCAGGTCTGGCCCAGTCAAAAAACAATCAGGCCACAGGTTCCCCCCACCCTGGCTTCATAGCCTATACCTAGTAAAGCCCCTTGTATCAGTTGAGTGACACAGAGGGGCCAGATTGTAAAATTGAGTCATGGTGTGTGTGTCTCTCTCTGCTCATCTGGTCCCAGCCTCCAACAGATTGTTCCTTTATACAGTATGACTACCGTTGTTTTGAAAGCCTCCTTCTCTCGAATTCCTTCTCGTTCTTCTTTGAGTAGTGTCCCAATGGGTGCTCCATTCTAGGTGCACTTGCGTCCCCTGCACCTTTGATTGGAGATTTCATGTAGTAGTGTCTGTTCAGCCTGCACATGCATCCTGCTGTGTCTCGTGCACCACACTGTAGTTATCCAGCACTATGAGGGTGAACTGCCCTGAATTCCTTTTCAAGCCTCAGAGAGAGTATCATTCTGCATGGGGAGTAGTCTGTTGGCCAGCTATGGCTAGATTCTGGCCCATTTGCATGAGCTGAGTGACACAAATGGGCCAGATTGTAAAATAGAATCTAACCTTGTCTCTCTCGCTATTCATCTAGCCCCGGTCACTTCTCTGTTCCTTCCCACAGTATCACCTGGATTTGTGTGAAAGCCTGTTTCTCGATAATTCCTTCTTGTTCTCTCAACCTTACCATCTCTCCTTTACTTTATAAATCTTATCTGTAAATACTTCTGTTTTATTTAGCTAAGTAAACCATTTGGTGATGGGGTACGTCTCAAAACAGTTAGTGAATCAAATTTCCAATGATAGATCCACATGTACATGCTTAAATTATATTTTTCCATTTCCAGAGTTATGTATAACATTCCCAGAAGATATGGAGAAAAACAATATTGGGCTGAAATGGAGCTCGGAAACAAGACTGAATTTAGAAAGTGGAGACTTTGTTGAATTTGACTGTAAAAATGGATATGTGAGAGATCCAACATCTTCTGAATTTAGAGTACAGTGTGTGGAGGGGAAATTGGCATATCCTAAGTGTAAGAAAAGAGGTAAGTAATCTCCAGTGAAACTAAAATATTGGTGAATCACCTGACTAAAAGATTTCTTAATTTTTACTGAGGAATTCTAAGGGTTTTTTTTTAAAGAGAAATGGTGGGTTAAAGAGACAGAGCTAACAAGCAAAGTAACCTCTGTATGATTTGAGCTGGAACAATCTCCCTTTGACATCTGGGCTTCTATGGGATACCAACAGAGCTGAAAAGTTTTGTAAGTGTTCTTGTCTTACCCAAGTTCTCTGGCTGGCCAATTCCTCATTCAGATAGCTGACTTCCATTGTGGCCTGCACTCATTTGCTCTGAAGCTGATTTTTTTTTTTTTTTAAACCTCCTTTACTCTTTGCTGGAGCTCATCACTGTTAACAAGAACTATATTGGGAAAAGCTTTCCTGATCTCCTCTAGTTACTGGGAAACCTTTGTTGGTCACCTCTTTTATCTGTCTTGCCATTCTAGACTGGGAATTTTGCAGCTGGGCTTCTCAATCTGCCTAGAGACTTTGTAGTTGCTGCCACAACAAATATTTTCTCTCAGACTGTGAGTCATCTCTGATACCTTTCTGGGAAACTGCCAAATATTGCTTCAGTTTCTTTTGTGACGTCTCCCACTCCTGTTTCAGGTCTTGTTTTAATTTCTTTTTATCTTCTTTTTACCTTTTTGGTCTGAGTGGTTAGCCAATACTGAGGGTCTTCCACCTCATTTTTTGTGTTTGGAAGAGAAATTGGGGATAGAGTCAGGTTTTCTATGAAGCAGTTTAATTTACAAAGAGTGTACACAAAGTCCTGTTTTTCTGAATGCAAAATGAACAAACATCAGGAGGAAGTTTCTTTGCTCACAGTTCTAAGCCTGCTTCACATTCAGCACTCTGTCCAAAAAATGCTCTCTCAGCCTTTCCTCAGGGCCACTCTTCCAAGACTTCTCTTGCTGTCCGGTCTTTAATGAGGCTAATGAAGGGCTTAGGAATAGTGGCAGCGTGACAGAGGGGAATAAAGGAGGGGGGATTGACATTACCATATCTGAGGTAGAAGCCAAACTCGAACAGCTTAACAGGACTAAATCGGGTGGACCGGATGATCTTCATACGAGAATATTAAAGGAACTGGCGCGAGAAATTGCAAGCCCGTTAGCGATAATTTTTAATGAATCTGTAAACTCGAGGGTGGTACCGTTGGACTGGAGAATAGCTAATATGGTTCCTATTTTCAAGAAGGGGAAAAAAAGTGACCTGGGTAACTACAGGCCTGTTAGTTTAACATCTGTAATATGCAAGGTCTTGGAAAAAATTTTGAAGGAGAAAGTACTTAAGGACCTTGAGGTCAATGGCAATTGGGACAAATTACAACATGGTTTTATGAAAGGCAGATCGTGCCAAACCAACCTGATCTCCTTCTTTGAGAAAGTAACAGATTTTTTAGATAAAGGAAATGCGGTGGATCTAATATACCTCGATTTCAGTAAAGCGTTTGATACGGTACCGCATGAGGAATTATTGGTTAAACTGGAAAAGATGGGGATCGATATGAAAATCCAGAGGTGGATAAAGAACTGGTTAAAGGGGAGACTGCAGCGGGTCGTACTGAAAGGTAAACTGTCAGGTTGGAGGGAGGTCACCAGTGGAGTTCCTCAAGGTTCGGTTTTGGGTCCGATTTTATTTAATCTATTTATTACTGACCTCAGAACCGAATGTAGGAGTGGGCTGATAAAGTTTGCAGATGACACAAAGTTGGGAGGTATTGCCAATTCGGAGAAGGATCGGGATATCCTGCAGGGAGATTTGGATGACCTTGTAAACTGGAGTAATAGTAATAGGATGAAATTTAATAGTGAGAAGTGTAAGGTGATGCATTTAGGGATGACTAACAAGAATTTTAGTTATAAGCTGGGGACGCATCAGTTGGAAGTAACGGAAGAGGAGAAGGACCTCGGAGTCCTGGTTGATCGCAGGATGACTATGAGTCGGCAATGTGACGTGGCCGTGAAAAAAGCTAATGCGGTCTTGGGATGCATTAGGTGAGGTATTGCTAGTAGGGATAAGGAGGTGCTGCTTCCGTTATACAAGGCACTGGTGAGACCTCATTTGGAGTACTGTGTGCAGTTCTGGTCTCCCATGTTTAAAAAGGATGAACTCAAACTGGAACGGGTACAGAGAAGGGCCACTAGGATGATCCGAGGAATGGAAAACCTGTCGTATGAAAGGAGACTCGAGGAGCTCGGTTTGTTTACCCTAACTAAAAGAAGGCTGAGGGGGGATATGATTGCTCTCTTTAAATATATCAGAGGGATAAATACCAGGGAGGGAGAGGAATTATTTCAGCTCAGTACTAATGTGGACACGAGAACAAATGGATATAAACTGGCCGTCGGGAAGTTTAGGCTAGAAATTAGACGAAGGTTTCTAACCATCAGAGGGGTGAAGTTCTGGAACAGCCTTCCGAGGGAAACAGTGGGGGCGAAAGACCTCTCTGGCTTTAAGATCAAGCTTGATAAGTTTATGGAGGGGATGGTTTGATGGGATAACGTGATTTTAGTCAATAGGTCAATAACGTGCCATCGCTGGTAATTAGTAACAATGGTCAATGAGGGTCTGGCTGGAGAATCTTGCCCGCATGCTCAGGGTTCTGCTGATCGCCATATTTGGGGTCGGGAAGGAATTTTCCTCCAGGGTAGATTGGCAGAGGCCCTGGAGGTTTTTCGCGTTCCTCCACAGCATGGGGCAGGGGTCGCTTGCTGGAGGATTCTCTGCAACTTGAAGTCTTTAAATCATGATTTGAGGACTTCAACAGCTGAGTCAAGGGAGAGAATTATTCCAGGAGTGGGTGGGTCAGCCTTTGTGGCCTGCATCATGCGGGAGGTCAGACTAGATGATCATAATGGTCCCTTCTGATCTTAAAGTCTATGAGTATGAGTCTATGAGTCCCCTGACTTTCTGGCAGCTTCTGACTCAGACACACACAGCTCCACCAATTAATCCCCAGCGCCTGTGTTTATCCATTGCTACGGGCAGGAGCTGTGCAATGGTATTTAAGGTATGTGTGTGTGGGCCATAGATTTGCCTCCCTCCTGACTCTCCTCTTCCTAGGCACTCCACCAGCAACACAATCACAAGCAGCCTAATGCCCTGGCCCATGAGCCCTTAGCCCCATCCTCTCCAAAACTGAGCCACTGGAATTGTGGCCTGGCACACAGGATAAGAGTGATGATCAGGTTTCGCCAAGTCAAAAAGCAATCGGGCCACAACCCTGGTCCCCCCGCTCTCAGCTTCACAGCCTATAACTCGGCAAACTTCTTGCATCAGCTGAGTGACACAGAGGGGCCAGATTGTAAAATAGAACCAGAGTGTGTGGATCTCCCTGTGCTCATCTGGTCCCAGCTTCCAACAGACTGTTCCTTTACACAATATGATTCATTATCATCGGTGATTCCTTGATTCGAGGATGATCGCTACCATGGATTTACATATGGGTCCTGAGATGACTGGAACCACAGATCTGCCCACAGTAGGTACAGACATTTCCTGGCAGGTCAGCTGTGTGCTGGAAGCAGGGCCGTCCTTACCCATACACAAAGTACGCAGCTGTGTAGGGCACCAGGAAATTCGGGGCACCAAATTTCCTGGTGCCTTGAGCAGCTGCGTGCTGCTCCAGCCCCTGCTACACCTCTTCCCCATGGCCCCTGCCCTTGCTCCACCCTAACCTCACCCCCACTCCACCCCTTCCCCAAGCTCTTGCCCTGCTCTGCCCCAAGCCCCGCCCCTGCCCCTGCTTCACCCCAGCCTCTCCCCCACTCCCCTGAGGACTGCAGCAGGGCTGGGCCTGCACTCACCGGCAGCGGGAAGTGCAGCGACCCGACCCCAGTCGTGCCACTGGTGAGTGCTGGGGGTGGTTCTACCACCCCATCCCCCAAGCCAGTCCTGCCCCCCCCCATGGAGGCCTGGGCCCCCCCATCCCCCTACATGGGGGGGGGGCTGCATAGGGCCCCAGAATAGCTAGGGACGGCCCTGGCTGAGAGACAGTTCTTTCTTCTGTCTCTCTCTTCAATTTGAGGGCAAGGCACTTCTCCTCGAAGCGGGCCACTGCCTGATGGAGGATGTGGCACCATTGTAGTTGGTTGGTGGCCTGCTCCTCCCAGCTTGTGATGTCCATATCAGTTTTCTTGAGCTACACTTCTAGTGTTTTTTTGTAGCAGTTCCTCTGACCACCACAGGATCTATGACCATACATGAGCTGAGAGTAGAGGGATTGTTTTGAGAGGTGAGAATCTGGCATCCACACACAACGTACAGCCCAGCAGAGTTGGTGGATAAGGATCGTTGCTTCAATGCTGGTGACATTGGCTTCATTGAGGATGCTGGCATTAGTGCGGTGATCTTCCCACTTGATATGAAGGATTTTTTGGAGGCATCGTTGGTGGTTCCTCTGCAAACTCTTGAGGTGCTGTCGATAACCCAGGTTTCGCATCCAAAAAGGAGCGTAGGGATGACAACTGTCTTATAGACCTGAATCTTGGTGTCCTTCCATAGGTCATGATCTATGAAAATGCATCAGAGCAGTTTCCCAAAGGAGGCATTTGCACACTGGATCCTGTGCTGGATCTCACTGTCATTTTTGCATTTAGAGAGTGTTGGCTACCAAGGTAGCAGAAGTGCTCAACTGTCTCCAAAGTCTGTCCCTCAATGGTGATTTGTGGTAGATCATGTGCAAGGCCTGAAACAGACTGATGGAGCATTTAGTCTTCTTGATATTAAGTGAGAGTCCTAGGCTTCAGTAAGCTTGTGAAACAAAATGTAGTGTGGACTTAAGGTCATTCTCAGTATGTGCAAGAATGGCATAGTCATCAGCATACTGACGATCAATAATAGATGCCTGGAGGACTTCAGACTTTGAGCAGAGACATCAAAGATTAAAAAGCCGCCCATCCATTCTGTATTGAATTTCAATTCCAGTGGGGAGGTGGTCTTTAACGAGAACCAGAATGACTGCTAAATAGCTGGCGAGCAGGGTTGGGGCAATAACGCATCCTTGCTTAACCACAGTTTTGATGACGAAAGACGTCTCTAAGTCAGTACAGCGAATGGTGGCAGTCATCTGATCGTGAAGAAGCCTTAGGACCCTAATAAATTTTGGAGGGCAGTCAAATCTGGCCAGCATCTTCCACAGGGCTTCACAATTGATAGAGTTGAAGGCCTTCATCAAATCGATGAAGGCCATGTACTGGTCCTGATTTTGTCCCCGAGACTTTTCCTAGATTTGGTGGGGAATGAAGATCATGTTGGTTGTCCCACAGGATGGTCTGAAACCACACTGAGATTCTGGCAATATTTCCTCAACAAGGGGAAGTAATTGGTTTAAGAGGATACAGGTGGGATAGCAAGGCAATGCTGTAGATAGCAAGGCAATGCCTTGATAACTTCCACACTCTGACTTGTCTCCTTTCTTAAAAATTGGAACAATCCATACTTCAGTGACATGAAAGAGAATCTCTTGCTGAACCTTCCACACTCAAAGAAGTAACACCAACAATCATGCAAACCAAGAACAACAAGCCAGCAGGACCAGACAGCTTACCAGCTTAAGTCTACAAGTGTGGAGGTGAAGAACTGGTAGATAAGCTCCAAAACCCTTTTCTTCAAATTTGGTATAATGAGAACATTCTGGAAGACCTGAGAAATGCCAACAACTATGCCTACTTTGTTTTGAAAGCTCCTTCAGTTGAATTCCTTCTTGTTCTTCTTCGAATAGTGTCCCAATGGGTGCTACACTCTAGATGCCCTTGCGCCCCTTGCACCTTTGATTGGAGATTTTACATAGCAGTCTCTGTTCAGCCTGCACAGTTTTGTGCACTACACTGTAGTTATCTAGCACTGCGTGGGGGAACTGCCCTCAATTCCTTCTCAAGCAACAGAGTATCCTTCAGCATGGAGTCACAATACAATTAGTGAACCAAATGTCCAATGATACATCCACATGTACATACTGAAATTATATTTTTCTATTTCCAGAGCCATGTACAACATCCCTAGAAGATATGGAGAAAAACAATATTGGGCTGAAATGGAGCTTGAAAACAAGGCTTAATTTAGAAAGTGGAAACTTTGTTGAATTTGACTGTAAAAATGGATATGTGAGGGATCCAACATCTTCTGCATTTAGAGTACAGTGTGTGGAGGGAAAATTGGCATATCCTAAATGTAAGAGAAGAGGTAAGTGATCTCCAAGTAAGCTACAATTCTGGTGAATCATCTAACTAAAACATTTGTTAAAATTTTTACCAAGGGTTTCTCAGGTTTAAAAAAATGCAATGGCACCATTGTGATGGGTGCCATAAAAACATGTGGGAAATCATGGTTCCTGACCCAGACAGCTTGCAATCTAAATAGAGAAGACAAATGGTCGGTTAAAGAGATACACTGGTCACTTTGCTTGTGAGCTCTATTACTTGAGCTGGGATAATCTCCCTCTGACATCTGGGCCTCTTTCGGTTACCAACAGAGCAGAAAAGTTTTGTAAGTTTCCTGTCTCACCCAAATTCTCTGGCTGCCCAATTCCGGGCAGCTGACTTCCATTGTGGTCTACACTCCTTTGATTTCCCTCTTATGCTGATTTTTTTTAGCTCTTTAATTCCTTGCTGGAGTTCATAGCTGCTAACACGTTCCATATTGGGGAAAACTTTACTGATGTTGCATAGTTCCTTTGAAACCTTCTATCCACAAGAGTCAATTTATTGGTCACCTTATTTATCTGTGTAAAGGGGCAATGACTCACTGGTGCGGCGCCTCCTGCTGGTTGTCCTGGGAATTTGCTCTATCCACTCAGGAGCGCCCTCTGCAGGCCGGTGTCTCACTTGCCGCTGACCCTGGTGACCCTCCCGGACCCTAGTGTCCTTTCTCTCGGGGTTCTGCCCCCTGCAGTACCCCGCAGTCTCTATGGGTTTCCCCTCCCCGGGGAACCCCCAACCTCCTATCCACACCTTGCTTCGGTCTTTCGCTACTGCCAGTCACCGTCTAGCCCCTGCTCACTGGAGCGGACTGCAGTATAATTGCCACTCATCATCGGCAAGGAGGGTTTGGACCTGCTGCCTCTGCCTACCCTTGGGCTGCCCTCTGCAACCCCAGTACCTTTTCCATCGTTTAGCAAGGCCTGCAGCCTCGGGGGTTTTCCAGGCCAGAGTTCCCCAGCTCCTCTGGCCTTTCCCCAGCCCTACTCCAGTCTAGGTACCCTGCTCAGCTCCCCACAGCCAGACCCATCCCTCTTAACAGCTAGAGAGAGACTCTGCCAGCTCCTGGCTCACTGGCCTTTTATAGGGCCAGCTGTGGCCTGACTGGGGCATGGCCCCAGCTGTGGCTGCCTCCCCAATCAGCCTAGCTTATTGATTCCCTGCCATAGCCCTCTCACAGGGCTGTTTTAAGCCCTTCAGGGCAGGAGCGGAGTTACTGCCCCGCTACAATCTGCCTTTCTATTTCAGACTGGGAGTGTCACAGCCGGGATTCTCAAGCTGCCCGGAGACTTCATATCTGCTGGCCCAACAAATATTTTAACTCAGACTGCGAGTCATCTCTCATATCTTCATAGGAAACCTCCCACTGCTACTTCAATACCTTTTGCAAAATCTCCATCTCCTGTTTTAATTTATTTTGCCCATCTTTGACTTTTGCCCTTTTTGGCCTAAGCGTTTAGCCAATAGGGTCGTCTGCCTTGTTTTTGTGTGAGGAGGAAAAATGGAGGTAGAGACAGGTATTTTCTTGACACAATCCTTGTTGTTTACAAAGAATGTACACAAAGTCCTGTTTCTCTGAACAGTTGGATCAGACAACAGCAGGCTCTTTTCTTGCTCACAATACAAGCCTACCTTTACATTCACCATTCTGATCAAGGAGGTCGCTTTTGGATTTCTATCAGGCCATGCTACTAATACTTCTCTTGCTGTCTGCTGGCTCTCTTCAGCTTTCTGGCTGCTTCTTACACACACACACACACACACACACACACACTTCCATCATTTAATCTACAGTCCTCCTATTATCAGTCCCCAGAGAAGCCATTCAACCAAAAATGCATGTAAGTCTTCATCACTGAGCCTGAAGGCATTATAGTCATCTTTCATATCAACTTCACTGAGTATGTCTACACAGCAGTGTAAACCTGGTCTTGAGCCCTGGCTCAAGCCTAACCTCCCCTTGCATCCACACAGCAATTGTGTTAACCAAGATCTCATACTTAAGGTGCAGGACCCTGCAGTGCTAGACGGTTTGGGCCCTTGTTATGCCCAGACTCAGGAATCAAGCCCTATTGCTTTCCTGTGTGCACATGGCCCCAGCTTGACTCAGGTCCTGGAAGTCCTCTGGATGTATCCCAGAGTTCCTTGGGGCATCTTCCTCAATCCTCTGGATGCCTATAATCTCTGATGCAGTCTATTGCACCCTATTGCAAATGTAATCCACACTTGCCTTTGAAAATGGCAGCAGCTCAGTTCAGCATTAACCCATTGTCTGCTGAACATCAGTCTGAAATCACACTACCAGATATCCTGCATGGTTTTCAGTGGAGCGCCCTCTGCAGGCCAGTGTCTCACTTGCCACTGGCCCTGGTGACCCTCCCGGACCCTAGTGTCCTTTCTCTCAGGGTTCTGCCCCCTGCAGTACCCCGCAGATCAGAAGAAGCTTTTTGCAAAGAGAGCTGCTTCCTGATCACAAGAGCACAGCCAGATTTTGGTGCAGACTTCCTGGACGCCCTTCAATAGCACCATCACAGTTAGGAAACTGGGTTGGTAGGAGAGTTTTCTCACAGTGCAACATATTCATAAGGCTAGAGTGTCGACAGAGGGCAGGGGACAGGGGGGAGGAGGTGCTAGGCACTCTGGGATGGGGTTATTTTGTCTTGGGTCTGTGCACTATGGTGTGGATGCCAAAGTCCTAGGTTCAAGCACAGGTCAGAAAATCCTTAACCTAGAGTTAAAATGCAGTGTAGATGCTCAAGCCGAGGGTTCCCTGACACGGGTCAGCTGATTCGAGTCTCACTAACCTTAGCGTACATTGCTTTGTAGAGATATCCACTGAGGTCTGTGACTACCTATAGATTAAAGACACACTTACTGTGAGCTTACCAACCTCCAATACAACAATACTATCAAAAATCTATTAATGGAATGATCTATTTTGTCTTACCTCATTCTAGTTATCCTGTCTTCTGCTATAGAAGAGGTGTAATTGCTGATCTTCCTCCCATAATAGGCTTGCTCCTATATTATTGTGATAATTCCCACACCACCTCTGATAAAGTGTTTTGAGAAATGATGCCCCCTTTATAGCACTGGGGACAGAAGCAAATCATTCGTGCATATATATGAAGAGGGCTGACTGGAAGAAGCTGATAAGGAGTCATAGGATGAAACAGAATGAAGATCTCTGCTTCAAAAATTCCATCACTTTCCAATGCTAGTAGCTACACAATGGATCCTGATAAAATACAGTAATATGTATGAAATCAATGCATGGTTTTCTATCCTGCTTTTAAGTTCCACATAACATAAAATATTTGTTTTTAATATGAACAGTAGTTGATCCACTGCAGTTCAGGAGTAACTGCAATTACATTTGATTGAGTTTGTTTCCATTTAGTTTCCAAAGATGGCTAAAATTACCCAGTGTGAATTTTAAGGAGTTGTGCTGAAATCAATAGTATGTTCCTGTGAGAGACCCATAGGGGATCTGTATGTAATATTGTTTCAAAAAAATTGACGTACTAAATTAATTTTCCAGTATTTGTTCTCTCTCTGACAGATACTTCAGAATGAATAAAAAGAAGCATCAAACAAATAATTTTAACCCAGATTTGAGGAGCAGAAGCCATTAACCAGTTATTTGTAATGTTCACACATTATGCTCTTTGTCAGTATTTTAACCTAGATTGTCTGAACTGATACATGTAATTACTTCTTTTGTCACAATGTATATTAAACTAATCATAAAATAGTAACAACAGATGGGCAAAAAGTTCCGAACTACAGCTTTTTTATGAAAATTGGAAAAGGAAGCTTTAAGGGAAATTGTACACTTGGCCGCACGTCCTGAATTACACACTTCCCGCTTGCTGAAACAGAAAGTAGCAGTATTTCTCTCTGGCCCAAATCAGGAACTCCTAGAAGTCTTACAAGGAACCTTAATCTTGGAGGCTTATAGCCCAATTGCTACATCCAGAGGTTTATTTATGGATTGAGACCGTTTTGAGTTCCGCCCATCCCTATGAGCAGTTGGTCATCGTTCTTTTAAATGTTTTAGTCCATGCAACCAAAATATTATCCAGACATCTAACACAGTTGTATAGAAAATATTCACTTCTCTGATGAAAATTTAAACTTATGGTGTCTTATTTTTTTTTCTTTTTTAAAATTAAAGAGTTGTATATTTCATTTAGCAATTTAAAAAAAAATCTGTTGTTTGAGTGTGTTTTTTATTAACAACCCAACCTGAAGAAAAGTGAGAAGGAATTTTAGGATTTGTTGAAAGGGAGACAAAGATGAAAGCCTGCAGCCCATTAAACAGCAACATGATGCATGCATTGGGTAGTGTGTGAACAAATTGACTATTCTTACCTTTTACTGGATGCAACAAACTAGAAATTAGACTAGTGGTGTGATAGAGATGAACTTATCAGAATCCACATATGTGAGAATGACAAATTAATAAAGAGACAGTGAACATTGATGGGATGCTACGTGTATAAACCACATTCTAGACCAGGGGCAGCTAAAGCTGAATAACGCCAACGCCCCCCCCCCCCCCAGACACACACATTTCCCCCAAATTGTGTGATGGCTGCAAATGTTCACATTATTGCAGTGGTAATGTTACTGATCTCCCTCGTGGACTCCCTACTTCTAACTTAAATACCCAGGCTTCCTATCCAAGGGCTGGGGAGAGTCAGGCACCTAACAGTAGGGCTGCATTTGAGCTTGGAGGTGTGATTCCCAGCTTGCATAGCCATATCTGCCCTAGCTCTGCTCAAGCTATCACCACACAGGCACTAGCGTAGCCTTGCTTCCCCGAGTACAACTCTGCCAGACCTTCAGCTACGTACTCAGCTGGCGAGCCCGAGCTATTGCTGGTGCTGCTGCTGCACACGGCTACTTTTAGGTGCTAGGTTGGGCAGCTCTACCATGGGTACAGCTCCCAGCTCAAATGTAGACATACCCTTAGACTGGGATTCACAAAAGCCAGCATGTTGAACAAGGAGGCACCTAAACCAGCCAGTGGGGAATGCCAAGGACAAGGGTGTGGCCTAAGCCTTACTCCTCAGTGGGAGTTGGGCACCTTTCTCCATGCAGGATTGACAGGGGTGAACTCTCTCCTGGAGTTAGGCACCTAAGTCAGGTCAGCTCTTTTTTGTAAAGCTCACACCACTAGGTGGTGATGCCATTATACCCAGGCGTGCATTCATCCTGTAGGAGGAGCCTTAAATCCAAATACTGATGTGGAGGAGGGACTTAAACTCAGGTTGCCCCGTTGATTGCCCTACGGGACAATGGCATATTCTAGCATATGTCTTTCTCAAGCTCTCCTATTCAGCTGTTCCACTTTTTCTAACAAATTAAGTAATTAAAATGCTCATTAGCACAGGTACTTGAACTTGGGACTCATATATATCAGGTGAATTGCTAACCACTGGGCCATAGAATCGTTCTCAATGGTGCTGTAGCCCCCTGACTGTTTAATAGAAAACAGAATGGCTTCAACAGGCAAGGTTGTGTTTTAGCTTTTTGATAAATGTTGTGTCCTCATGGAAACCCTGTTTTTTACATGTCAGGATATTTTCAGCGTTCATCTGTGGCAGATCTAAGAGGAAGAGTTTCAGTCTGGGACAGTGTCCCACTGATATTGCTGCTGCTGTTGAATGGCTCACACTAAGAAAGATTATTACTACTTGAAATCTACATGGCTAGTTTTGATGGCAATGGCACTACCTGTGCTTAAAGTTAAGTGCATGCTTAGATGCTTTGCTGGAGTGTGGCCTAGCATTTTCTGAGAAGTTTGGCAATTGTCTTCCCTTGCTGAAACTGAAGCACACTTTGGCAAGAAGAAGGGAGGGATGTCTCCATTCCCTGGAGAAGGGGGGACCCTTACTTCCCTAAAAGGAAACGACTAAAAGAGGGTATTGAGTACATTATAACTTGCTGAATTAATCTAAGACAGAAATTATTATCACATTTTCAATTTATGGAAAGAAGCAGAAGATAAAGTCTAGAATAATAATCTAAGGCAAAAAACAAATCTCAAAACACTAAAAACTCATAATTTGAGGAGCAATACTGCAGAATCTTTGAATTTAATAACATCCATATTATGTTAATTTGATGGCCAAGTTGGGTGATCACATGAGCTAATGTTTTACTGGTAACCCAGTGTCCTGGCCCACATCCCCATACAGTTGGGATCCACGGGCTCACAAAGCACCTGTACAATGCAGTTCACTATGTAACCCTATTCTGATAGGTGGTGCTAGCAGCTTATGAATCAAAGGCCAGGATCTGCCAGTGGCAGAAGCACCCATGTAGTTTAGCACTGGCTATTCGCTGGTCAGAAGGTCAGATATCATTAAGCAGGTGAAGTTTTTTTTTAGAAGCACTTCAAGCTTCCAGAGAGCATTTACCAAATGGGCGGGGGGGGGGGGGGGGGGGGAAGGGTCACTCTCTCGCTGAGTTCAATTACAGTTTACAATACAGAACGTATACAAGGTTATCTGGGAAAAATCAGCTAATCACATGTATTCCAAGTCGGGTGCGCCTGCATTCTGGATGCTCTCCAATGTCCTGTAGCCAAGGGCATAAAACCAGAGGAGCCCCAACCATGCTCTAGTTTCTTCTTTCAGCCTGTGGGTGTGAGACAGAATCCCTGCAGCACTCATGTCTCTGCACAGTCAGTGAATGGATTCTTTGCGCTCTAGTTAGTATACTGTTATAGTTATTAGTGTAATCTGATTTCTTCTGTGGTCTCTACCATGCTTCCAGAGGTGGAAGAAACAATCTTGGACCCAATCTACTCAATAGCCATGAGAGTCAAAGTACTGAGTGACTTTGTGGTACCTGACCAGCCGAAGTCCCCATTGCTGGCCTCTGCTAGGAAGCTTTTGGCCCCAGTTCCTTTCTATCTATCTCCTTAATGCCACTGCAGGATACTGCAGGACCTTCCAGGATGCCAGAAATAATCCAAGCACAGGAACAGAAAGTAGTCTGTGCAACGGGGTTCTTCCTGCTTTGGACTGCTTCCCTTCTGATATCTGTTGTGGATCTCCTGGTAACCCTACCTACCCCATCTCTTAGCACTTGACTCTTCGTTTGCCCTCAGACACTGACCTCCTGGTACTGGACCGAGGCTGACTCCTGCTCTAACCACTTGGTCAGATGGCCCAGATCCTCGTCATGACAATACCTTTTGAAGACTGCAACCTCTTCAAAAAACACAAAGATGATGCCTTGAATACTTTAAAGTACTCAATGCCCATGTTGTGTTCCTTGTAGATATATACCCTGGCCACATGGAGAAAGTAATATATAAGCCTCAATTACTCCAGACAGAGACAAGCTTCCTCTTATTATTACAGCCAGCAAAGCTGAGGGACACCTTCTGCCCCTTCCTCCTCCACCACAACTGTGCTTCGACCTCACATCGGCAGTTTTGATGGTGCAGTTGAGATCCCCTGGGAACTGCACAATCTACCTTCTTCTGCTTCTCCTCTCTTTGGGAACCATCCATTTTGCTTTTAGGAGGCCTGAAACTGGTTAACTCCAGGCCATTGGATCCTGGAAATAATGGACAAGGGTCACTATCCCTTCCTATTATCTGTATTTAGATTATTTTTCCACAGAATTGCATTTTTCCCACCTATTGTTTTCCCATCACCATACATGAAGGCAACTACATTGGCTCCGCCACTTATGTGACACAGACTTATAAAACCCTAGTGTATTGGCAGGAGTGTTGTAAGCAAGACATGAGAAGTAATTCTTCCACTCTACATCGCGCTGATTAGGCCTCAGCTGGAGTATTGTGTCCAGTTCTGAGTGTCACGTTTCAGGAACAATGTGGACAAACTGGAGAAAGTCCAGAGAAGAACAACAAAAATTATTTAAGGTCTAGAAAACATGACCTATGAGGGAAGGTTGAAAAAACTGGATTTGTGTTGTCTGGAAAAGAGAAGACATGATAACAGTTTTCAAATACATAAAAAGTTGTTACAAGGAGGAGGGAGAAAAAATGTTCTTTTTAATCTCTGAGGAGAGGACAAGAAGCAATAAGCTTAAACTGCAGGAAGGGCAGTTTAGGAAAAAACTTCCTAACTCTCAGGATACTTAAGCACTGGAATAAATTGCCTAGGGAGGTTGTGGAAGTTCTGTCACTGGAGATTTTTAAGAGCAGATTAGACAAATACTGTCAGGGATGGTCTAGATAATACTTACTCCTGCCATGAGTGCAGGGGCCTGGGCTAGATGACTTCTCGAGGTCCCTTCCAGTCTTATGATTCTATACTGAGTAATGGGTTCAGTGGTTTCTCTCTCAATGTAGATATTGACATAATGAATGTGGAGTCACCTTCTTTTCCTAGTCCTAGAACAGCTTCCCTCCTTCAAATCCCGCCAGAATCCCACCGCTTTTGTAATTCAGGTAATATCGTATATCCCAAGTTTAATAAAGGTATGTTTTACTTAATTAAATTACTATTCTTTGGGATATTCTGAGCTCAGAGAAAAACGAGCAAACTTGAAACAGAAGATCAATACTTCAAAGGCTTATATTTGGTAAATACAGAAAAAAATAACTCTAAAAAGTGTGCATTGTACAGCTGACACCTTTGAAATGAATTACCTTGTATTTTAGCAGAGTTTCATTATTTTAGTCCTCAGAAAACAATGATTTAATAGATCAGAGTAGATAGCTGTTGCCTTATTTGTCATGCTAGAACAGGGGTAGGCAACCTATGGCACGCGTGCTGAACGCGGCACGAGAGCTGATTTTCAGTGTCACTCACATTGCTCTGGTCCTGGCCACGGGTCCAGGGGGCTCTGCATTTTAATTTAATTTTAAATAAGTTGCTTAAACATTTTAAAAACCTTATTTACTTTACATACAACAATAGTTTAGTTATATATTATAGACTTATAGAAAGAAACCTTCTAAAAACGTTAAAATGTATTAATGGCACGCGAAACCTTAAATTAGAGTGAATAAATGAAGACTTGGCACACCACTTCTGAAAGGTTGCCGACCCCTGTGCTAGAAGAAGAACACAGCACATTAGAAAATAATTAGCCTTTAATGGAGCAAGAGTCTATTAAGGGAAATAAATATTCAGAATAAAG